GTGAGAAAGTTGAAGGGATAAGCAAAAAAGAAAAAAAATTATAGACACAGACAACAGTATGGTGATTACCAGAGGGAAAGGGAAGGTTGTGGGAGGTCGAAGAGGGTAAAGAGAGGGATAAATAGTGACAGAAGGAAACTTGACTTTGGGTGGTGAACACACAATACAATATACAAGTATATTAGAGAAATAGTACACCTAAAACCGATATAATTTTATTAATCAATACCACCCCAATAATTTCAATAGAAATTTTTAAAAATCTATCGATAAATTTGTTGAGAATTTCCATCTTCACAAAATTGACTATTCCAAACCATAAACATGAAATACATCTGCATTTACTTAGATCTTCTTCAATTTTTTTCAGCAATGTTTTGTACTTTTCATTGTACAAATATTTCAATTCTTTTATTTAAATGTATTTCTAAGTATTCTTTTTTTTCTTTATTGATTAAGTTATTACATATGTGTCCCTATTCCCCCATTGCCCCCCCCCCTTACATTCATGCACTCATCCCCCTGGTGTCTGTGCCCATTGGTTATTCTTATATGCATGCATACAAGACCTTTGGTTGATCTCTCTCCCTTACCCCCTCCCTTCTTTTTGATAGTATTGTGAATGAAAGGGCTTACTTAATTTCATTTTCAGATTTTTCTTTGCTAATGATAAAAGTGTAATTGATTTTTGTGTATTGATCTTGAATCCTGTGTCCATGCTGAAATTGAAAGTGTGTGGCTTGAAGAAACAACAGATTATTATTCAGACTTAACAAAAGAAGGAAACCTGCCATTTGTAACAACAAGAATGAATCTGAAGGACATTATACTAAGTGAAATAAGTCAGACAAAGAAAAACAAATACTGCATGATCTCTCTTTAATGTGGAATCTAAAATGGTCCAATTCATAAAAGCAGAATAGAGCATGGTGATTGTCAGAGGCTGGAGGGTAGAGGAAATGGGGAGGTGTTGGTCCAGGGGTTGTACAGGATGAATAAGTTCTGGAGAACTGTAAATACTGCATTTCATACTTGAAAATTGCTAAGAGAATAAGCTTAAATATTCTTACCACACACAGTGGTAACTATGTGAGGCAATGGGTATGTTAATTAGCTTGATTGTAGTAATCATTTCACAATGTATACATATATCAAAGCCTCACATTGTACACCTTAAATATATATAATTTTTATTTGTTAATTATACCTCAGTAATACTGGAAAACCAACTCATAGGAAATGGACTCATTGAAACAGAAAGAAAATTGGTGATTGCTGGGGTTGATTGGTAGTCAAAGGATACAAACAAAATTTTTAAAATCTTGAGTTTAATTTACGTGAGTTATACCTAATATTATATATCAATTTACCATATTAGAAAATGCAACTGAGAAATATTTTAAAATATTCATTCATTTAACAAAACTTTAAATAAAAAGAATTTTATTGAAAATAATAGTAGTGAGCCCATTACATGTTAGCATCAATAAAATATTTTTATGAAAATAATTAATTTGATTTAGTGATTTAGTGAGAAGTGTAGCATTGTTTTACATTTTTGCTAACCTCTAGCGTCCAGTGGACTAGAAGGCTGCTAGGTTCTATATCTGTTTTTGCATTCAAACTATTGCATTATGTTGCTTGATTGAAGTAAATGGAGAGAATTCAGCCTCTTGCGGTCATGAAGTCCTATGGCTATGCAAGAACTCCACAGTACCCTTGTGAGAGATTGAATGTGCAAAAGGCAAAGAATGTCTTAATGTTATTCTAAAACTAGTTTTGACCTCGCAAATCACATGAACAGGTGTCAGGGACACTGAGTGGGCTTCCACTCCCACAGGGCTTCCCCCTTCTCATACAGGTACTTGCCTTATTCCTCCCTACCTAATGGGTTGGGACTGAGTTGTTTGGGAAGGAGCTAGAGCAGGGCAGGGCAGAAATTGTAAACTTTACTTGTGAGTACTAAGGTTGTTTGTGGCATTGATGAGTTACTTCTGACGATTTTGTGTGTGTTGTGTGAGAGAGTTTATGAGTGAAAAATGTTGATGTTGGAAATGAGGGTTCTCACTGTAGGGAAGAGGAAAAATAGCCCTGGCCAATGTGGATCAGTTAGTTGAGCACTGTCCCATGCTCTGAGAGGCCACTGGTTCCATTCCTGGTAAGGTCACATACCTGAATTGCAGGAGGCAGCCAATCAATGTTTCTCTCTCACATTGATGTTTCTCTCTCCCTATCCTTCCGCTCTCTCTAAAATCAATTTTAAAAAATTTTTTTAAGAAGAAAGGAAAAACAAATGTGGAATGGGGATGGTGAGGAAGACTTTTGTGTTTTTGGATTTGAATTGGCGATATCAGTCTGAACAATCAGTATAAATTTTTGATGTTTAAAAAATGTTTCTTTTTTCTGTCCCATGTATGGACATAGGAATGGTGGAATCACAGTAGCCATGAGCTAACTCAATATCCAGATATTTCCTTCTAAATTTCTTATTTGGAGAAATGCCTGGTTACAATCTTGGTAAAAAGAGCACAGATAAGCCACGGACACCTTGTAGTGCCAGCAAGTGAAGGTGGGCACAGTGACCAGTGGAGCCACTAAAGGATGTGGGAGCTGCCCGGCAGGACTCCCACTGGACTGGAACTATTTTAATTTTATAATTTCTTAGATATTTTATATTTTACATATTTATAACTCCTTGTACCTGTGGCTCGTATACAAGTATAAAAGTAAAACAAGTTTACAAATGAACACATGGAATCATCCAAGAAAATAATGAGTGATGGAAACGTCACTGTGAACGATGGGACATCCCATGTGCCTCAGCTGAGTGGGGCCGGAAACAAAGGTTGAAATCCACCTTGTACACCTGGATCTTTGCTCCTACACAAGTCGCATGTGCCCTGTAGGGGACTCTGTGGGTGTTGATCAGCAGCTTCTATGTGCTTTGATGTGAATGGCTCTCAGTTCTGACCTTCTTCCAATGTTCCCCATTAGACTACCACAGCCACCTGTTCTGCCCCCCACATGAACTGGGAGTGCCTGGGAGTTTCTGTCTCTGCAGTGGAGTACATACCCACTCACTGATTGGTACTGGAGGCCCAAATGCCCTTGGGTTGAGATGAGATTAACTCTGAGGTACAGTTTATATTCCAGGGCTCCCCATAGGATTCCTGCTTGGCTCCTCCCCTCTTCTCTCCCTTATTCCCTTACTGGTTTCTCCTGGGTCCACTTCCTTAGCAACACGTCATTTCATTGAAACCTTGGCTGAGAGCCTGATTCTGGGAGAACTGGAACTAAAACAAGTTTGTTTCTGGGAGAACATGAGCCCAAAGGTGCCCTTCCGAAGTCAGGCAGCCTTCCATTTGAGCTACAGTATACTCTCTATCATCTGATGTCAGCATTCTAAACGCATACAGCCCTTGACTGGAGACATCTTCACTAAATATAGAAAGGGGGCCACAGGGTGTGTCAGTGATGGATGGATGGGTCTGATAGGGCCCTGATCTCTCTCAGTGAAGCAGGAGTGATCATCTAAACCATTAGTTCAAGAATTGGAGGAAGCATGACGGTCTAGAGGCGGGGCTCTCTAAAGCCTGCAGAGGAATTCCTGCAAGCTTTGCTCTTAAAGGTGTCTGAGGCAACTGTCCTCTCTGGGGGCAGGAGGTCTTGCGACTTGGGACTGCAGTAGAATGTTCTTGTCTCAGGAGACACTGAAACTACAGCATGCAAGTTGCTGGTAAGCCTGGGTCTGAAAAGCTGGGAAGACGAGGATGGTGTCAGTCACTGTAGCATTGAAGGTGAGCTGCAGCGAGGATGCCAGAACCAGGAGGTGACAGAAGGTTCAAACTCTCCTTGACGTTATGCAATGAGGTGGGGCTGCAGCATAGCTTCCGGGGCCCTAAAAGAAGAGGTCCCTGGGTTAAGTCATGCAGAAACTATGATCATAAATGTCAGTGTTCTGATTGGGAGGAATAGAGAAGATATCACAGGAGGGAAAATGGGTGAGTAAATACTCTGTTGTGAGGTGAGCATTTTAAGTTCTTCTTTCATGTTATCAGGATTTTTCTACTACAGAAAAAAAATCCTGTTAACTTACAAGTAACCTTAAATAGTTTATTGCAGCCACATTTTTTGCACTAGAATATGACTCTTGGGGGTTATTCTCACTTAGATATGATTTTATCATTGCCAGTGAGGGAAAAAGAGCTTAGATAAATCTATTTTCAAGGCACTGATAATGGGATGAAGGTACTACAATCAACAAAAATAATACCCACTTTCTTTTTCTTTCTTCCCATACTGCTTCCTAAAGTGGATGGGTTAGGGCCACGAAACTTGCACAACTTGTATGTGCTGTTTCTTCTCTTCTCCTTGATCAGACTTCCAAAAGGTGGACTCAAAGCCAGGCACAAAGTGTCCCAAATGCCAGATGGGGAGTTTTGGTTGTGTCATTGAAATAATGGACAGCTTATGACAGTGTTTGAAAAGTGACACTGCTATATAATTAGGAAAGTCAATGGATTGACTGGTTAGTTGATCAAATAAATTAGAGACAAAGAGACCAGTTGAGTCTGGAAAAGAGGTGGATACGTGCCCATCCTCAGAATTATGAGTGGGAGAAGAAGGTGGAGGAGCAAGTGCAGATTGCAGATGTCAAGTCAACAGGGCTTATTGATTTGAGGTGTGGAGTGAAGTATAAGGAGGTAGGAATTGAGGATGACCCCCACGTGCAAGATCTGGCCACTTGATGGGCAGCACTACCCTTCACTAAGGAAGAAATGTCGGGGAGCAGGCCGGTTTGTAGGGAAGAGTTGCGTTTAAGGACATATCCAGTGTGAGCTGGCTTTGGAACATCTAAATGGAGGTAGATTTCTACAAAGCAGTGGTTTGTAAGTCTGGAGCCCAGGAGGGAGGTTTAGCTGTAGAGAGAGGTGATGATAATGACTAGGAAGTTCATGCCACTCGGTAAAATTCATTCGCCTCTTCTCTATCCTGTCCAGTGTATACCAGCTGGTTGTCAAGGAGGAAAGACTTCAGAAATCACGGCGGGCAGCTGACATCATCGAGTGCTTTTCGGTGCCTGTGAGCTATAGGAACGCCTCCAGCCTGGATTCTCTGCACTACTTTGCTGCTGAGTTGAAGCCCGCCAACCTGCCTGTCACACAGCCCTTCACAGTGGGTGACAACAAGACATACAATGGCTACTGGAACCCTCCTCTTTCCCCTCTGAAAAGCTATAGTATCTACTTCCAAGCACTCAGCAAAGCCAATGGAGTAAGTATGGCCACATGGAGGCCACTGCTCATCTTGTTTGTATTTTTTCTTTTCTCATATGAGAAGGCAGTGCAGTTTCAGAGTGTGGATCAAATTCAGCACGGAGACTCTCTGCCCCATAAGCCTAAAATACTTACTATATGACCCTTTACAGAAAAAAAAAATTGTAGATCCCTGTATTGGAGGATTTAAAAAAAAATGGTGTTTCACTTGGGCAAATCACATAGCCTAAATCTTAATTTCCTCATCTATAAAATACCTATCAATTTGATATCTGGGAATGTATAAGCATATTTTAGTTAATCAGTGAATACTAGCTCCTTTATGATTACTGTTAATCCCATTAGAAAATATATTTTTCTCCCAAAGACAAGGTAACCTTTTTTGTGTGTCAAGCATTTTTGCTGGATAAAATATATATTTTATTGTAGCTTCTATGCATTGCTCTTGGCCCATATTCTTGGGGACCAATAAAACCCATGCAATCGCCTTCTCAGGTGGTAGTCTTTCCATTGCAGAAGATCTTTCCTATTCTCCACCTCCGCTCTGCACAACACAACCATCTGGTCTTATTTTCTACAAGCTAGTCCCTCTTATGACACAAGTTTATCTTTTCTCTCTAGGATGCCTTTGTGGACATACTCCAGGTTAATATATTTTATTCAACAAATTATAATGAACAACTGATATATGCTACGCCTCTGTAGTTCATACTCAGGTTATGTAGATGTGCCCTTATAGCGATGCAAGGGAGTGGAGCAGGTGCCATGCTCCCCAGTGCGGCTGGGGAAGGGGAAGCTAAGCCAGAGCAGATTTGGTGACATGTGAAGAGCCTGTGCAGGCTCTGGTGGCAGTCATCATCTTGTGAGAAACCTGGGCTGAGGAGCTAATTAACATTTAAAATGTCCACAGACCCATTTAAATTCCACATTGGTATTTCAGTTCTACATTTATTACTGGTTCAAGCAACACTCCTCACATAGAGTATAAAGCTACAAAGAGAAGAAGCCAAACTGCCTTCCACCTGCCCATCTAGTCTTCCGTCTGCATGAAACACAGATGTATTGAGGGGGGGACATGAAGATGGGCAGAAGCATCTTGGGGCCCACCTTGTTCCTGATTCACTGCATCCCATAAGGGCCAGTTTATTGGTTCAGCACAGCTCTGGGAAGGCGTGGCTCTCCTGCTCTTGGCAACATGTCAGGAGATGCTGTTGGGTTTGCATGCTGTGAAGAGGAGTAATAGTTGTACCCAATTCATACTCTGTTACATTCCTACTACGATGCTCATAAGAACTCAGCAAGAGACCCAGACTATTGAACCCAAACACTGACAACTGGGCCCCAAGAGGAACATTGTCGGCCCTGAGCAGAAGAGCAGGTGAGGAAGAACGGCTTCTGGAGGTTCTGCTCCCCAAACACCACACCACAGTCCCCTTCTCAAGACATGGGGTTTTGCCCTTGGGAATGAAGTCCCCCCGCCACTCTTCAGCTAGCTGATCTAGGAAGCAGTTCCTACTACACCTTCCAAGATGAGCAAGGCCTTGCTCATCAATAAGCGGTAATTATTTGTGCTCTCAAGCCCACACCACGTTACCCCCCTTTTGGAACTAAGACTTGCAGTAATGACACACCAGCAGGAACGGAACCAGAAAGGTGCTTGGGCCAGGTGTCCTGAGGGTGCAGTTGGCCTCACAGGAACAGAGAGGAAAAGCTGTGGAGCTGTTGTATTTTTCTGGCAAGAGAGAGATTCCACACTGCTTCCAATTACTGTGCTTAGTATTAAGTTTTACTGAACAGGGTTTGTGCGAGAAGGTCATGGGAGCAGAAAAGCTATTCTCAGTCTGACAAATCCCTGCCTGGCCCCTCTCAGATTTCTTCACATCAAAAAACAAGCCCACAGTGCAGCTAAGCCTGGAGGACTTTTGAGTCGAAATGGTATAAACTCACAAGTTCCTTATCAGCCAAGTTATTGTTCTTGTGCCAATACATCAGAAAGACATTTTCAGTATCCACAGGCTCCCACAGGCCCCGCTTCTAATAAATCATTCAAAGAGCATTTGGCTGAGCAAAGAATCAAAATAAAGAAATCAAGAGCAGAGAAATATGGGATAAAATGACCCACAGTGAGCATGGACACTACTCATATATAGTGTTGATGCTAAATACTTGCTCCAAATATGTTACAAAAGAGAAGGTTAATATAAAAACGAATACTTAAGGAGAGGATGTGTAATGTAAAATAATAACAATTGTGATCTGGGTCTGCAATTCACGATTATGTCAATAGAAACTGAGAAAGAGTTAGAAGATTTATGAGTCTAAATAAAAATCTGCTAGGTTTTCCACTTTAGACAAGATGAAATAAATACTGCTATTTTATTTTTGATACCAAGAATTTTTAAGGTATAGTTCTTAAACATAAAGGCAGTCTTCCAAACTATCATTAAGAAGCCAAAAAACAACAACCTACAAAGAAAAGGGGGAGAAACAAAGGAAATTATAAGTAAACATAAAAATAAGCAACTATAAAGTAAGACAAATGCATTAGATTTTATTTTTTTTAAAGTAGTGCTTTCCTCTCCTCAAAATAGGTGGAAAATATACCTTGGGTCAAGTAAAAACCAGAATTCAGCAAATCCCTGGTACTGGAAGATTAAAAACAAAGGATGAAGCCAAGTTATATTAAATTAAAACAAGTTACACAAAAGGATAAAGGCCATTTGTTGCAGGGTAGTTGTAGTCCCGGTTGAATAATTCACTATCAATCAAGTTCATTACTCCCAACTTTACCTGCAAGTTTCAGTCAGAGCATGGTAAGAATTTTAGGGTCCAGATGTCTTTATTCTATGGATATTAAATGGCTAAATATTCAGCCTTTACAATCACACTGCCTACTCACAAAACCATATTAACTGTGTGACTTTAAGTAAGCAATTAAGAGTTAGATATTAACCTGACGGTGTCGCTCAGTGGTTGAGCATCAATCCATGAACCAAGAGGTTACCAGTTCAATTCCAAAGTCAGGGCAAAGTCAATGTACACGCTCAGGTTGTGGGGTCAATCTCCAGTAAAGGGCATGCAGGAGGCAGCCGATCGATGTTTCTATCTCAGTGATGTTTCTCTCTATCCCTCTCCCTTCCTCACTCTCTAAAATCAATAAAACGTATTTTTTAAAAGAGTTAGATATTACTGATTAAGTAAACATCTAGCAAGCTCATACTATATGTAAAAATAAAATACGCCCTTCTAAGTGCTGGGAATAAAGTAGTAAGCCAGACAGACAAAGAACGCCCTGTCCACATAGTATTTACATTCTAGTAGGGGAGAAATAAAAAATAAATAAATGTGTGAAATAATATTCTGTCTGAATAGTAGGGGCCGTCCCAACTGCCAGACCCTGTCCTTGGTGCTGAATTCTGAGTACCTCACTTCCTTGTGGTTCAGGCCATATTGTAACCATTTGTTTTGAATACAACTATCTTAGAAATCTGTAGCATTCTAGAGTTGAAGTGTCATCTAGACTAGACTAGAAATCAACATGATATCTCCAATAAAGCATTCTTGGAAGATCATTATATAGCCTCAGCTTGACCTGCTGCAATTCTCTGGAGAGAAAGTTGATTCTTTGGGGAGCCGGTAAAATTATCAGCATTTTCTTTCTTCTGCAAAGGCAAATTCGGTCTCCTTAACTCTCTCCACTTGAGATCTTGTATTGATTTGAACAAATCGAATCTTTTTTCCTCTGTCAGCCTTTTGGAGAAATATGACAGCACCAACTACCATCCCTGGCCACCCAGGCCATTTCTTATTGATATTTAATATGCAATTACTTCTGTTTCTCTCATGACATGATTTCTGTATCTCTTCCAGCCTATCTCTTGTTCTCTCATAGACAGACTTAACATTATACTTCAGATGTGGGTTTGCCTGCTACACTTGAACCACCCTTCTTCTCGTGATCATTTTCTAAGACATTATTTCTCAAACATCCCAAGATATATTTCTCACTTATTAGGGCCTTCACACAAGTGTTATTTTGCCTGAATCTCTTTTATTTATTCCTTGAAGAACTAATGCCCTCTCATTTTTTAGACTTCATCATTAATATCACATCCTCTGGAAACTCCCTACCTATGTTATCTAAGATTCATCCACACCAGTACTCACTTGCATGCTAACCTGTTCATTGCCTTTAAAATGCTCAGTGTTTTTAAATTGCACTTGTTTTTGCATAGTGTGTGCTTCCTTTGTTAGACTAAGCTCCAGGAGGTAGGAACTCTTGTTTGCTGCTGTATCTTCCATACTGAGTATATTTAACACATAGTAGACACTCAGTATCATTATATGAATGAACAAATGAATGAATGAGGTTACAACTTGTTTCTTGTTGTTTCTAAGTCTCAGTGTTCTCATTTATAAAATGGAAATACTTATTTGAGAGTGAATTGAAAAAAAGATCTTGAATACTGAAAGGTACTAAATAAGTGTGAGTACAGACTGAATTTCACTGTAGCATGAGAGATGTGGTTCTGAGCTATTTCCACCATAGATAGATGAGCCCTAAAGGACTTTCCTTCCGTTAGAGTAGTAAAACTTTCCCCCAGCTGTCTCATTTCCAAAACTCCAGGCGTCTGGGCAGCCTTGATTTCCTCCAAATGGTACCCAGAGTAGCAGTCTCAGTTGTAAACAGTGGGTGGGTTCAGTTTTGTATTGTTTCTTTCCCACTCTTCCCAGAATGAGGTCTGCTGACTCTACTGTTCTCTGTTTCCCCACCATCATTAGCCATGATTGTGAAGTTGAAAGGACCGTAATTAACGGTTGAATGCAAAACAAGTGTGGCAGATTCATGCCGATATCTGTCAGAAGCCATCTCTTGTGGAGCAATGCAGTTGTGTGTGTTCTTTTTATGCAGAAAGAAAATTCTTTCCTGGCCATATCCTTGTTATCACATGGGGACACATTTCACCTGGGTGATGCCTCTGCCAGATGCTGAGCTAA